CTCGAAGACTTCTCTATCCATCTTCGAGGTGATGCCCCGCAGGAAGGCCCTCGGCTCGGCAGTACCGTGCATCAGTGAAGCACCGGGGGAAAAGGAGAGTTGACGGATCTCCCGGGGTAATTCCTCCGGGGGGAGATTCACCGGAGCCTTCGGGGTGACCGAGGCCAGAGGCCCATCAGTGGAGGGCATGTCATCAACAATTATGAGGGGGGCCGCCCCCTCAACGGCGCCCCGACGGCTTTCTGCTTCTTGGTGGGGGGCTCCACCCCCTTACCACTCCTCTTCTTCTTCACGGCCGCCTCGGCCTTCGACCCCCCGGTCCCCTCGGCAGCATTGACATCCTCAGCAGAAGGCTCTACGACCTTCGGGAAAAACGCGTCGGCTGGCTTCTGGCCCGAGGGCCCCTTCTCCTTTGCCTGGGTTTTGCCCTTCCTCTTTGCAAACAGAGCATTGGCATTCATCTTGCTACCTGCAAAGAACGACAACAACAAGTTAAAAGATTAGAACCGAGGGGTCAGAGACACAACGACAAACATGACGAAAAATTTTTCTAAGTATAAAAGCCGTAGCCCTCGTAGACTACCTCCTGCTCCCCCGAAGGCCTCAGCAAAAACAGGATACTTCTCGTCCGCTTCCCCAATAAAGCGGTATCCCCGAAAGCCGAGGGCGCAGAGTTCCTTGTCGGCAGTGTGATCTTTGATAGACACTTGCTTTGTGCGACCCTCCGGGATTTTGGCTATTATTAGGCCATCTTTCTCGAGAGCGGCGCTTCCAACCTTCGGATGCCGATGGAAGCGATCCCGAAGTTCCGCCGGAAATGGGTTCTCGGCAACTCTGACGTAGCACCAACGCTCTTTCCAGCCCTTATTGGACGAAGGCGCCTCCGTAAATAGCTTCCACCTGGCTATCTGCTGCAGGTTGGCGAAGCCCTCGGTATTCGCGTGACCCCCTCGGCAGAGGTTGAAGCTCTGGAAGAACAAGTCCAGGCTGGGGGTCACCCCTCGGACCCTGCAGAGGCTCAAAAAACCCGCCACATAAGAGTGGCTATTGGGTGTCAGTTGGCAGGGGACCAAGCCAACGAACCTAAGGTACTCCCGGAGGAAGGGGTGCAGAGGGAACCGAAGGCCCATGGAGACCGACAGTACGTGTACTGCAATACACCCCTCGGGCGCTCGAGACAGCACATCGTCGACTCCCGGCTCGACCACCACGGCCGAGGGCCCTACGTGTAACTGCGTGACGTAGAGATCCGCCCTGTCCGCCTTCGATTTTATCTCCAAGGCAGCAATATTGAGCCAGGAATACCCCTCCGGCATATCTATGGGTTTCCCCTGATCGGCGGCAACGATCTTCTTCTTGGGGGCAACTACCTTGGCCTTCTTCTTCCCGGGGGCCACCCGGATGGGAACTGCGTTCAGCGGCTGAGAGGTGCTGGCCTCACCAGCACCCCGAGGGGGAAGGACGGCCACAGTAACCTTCGCCCTCTCCTTTTCCTCTTCCTCCTCAGCAACTTGGACGGCGAGGGCCAACTCCTCATCTTCGGCGGTTCGCTCGAACTCCTCCGCCTCGGCCTCGGCCACCAGATCCTTCTGCACCTCGGTGGCGAGAGCTGCATCACCACCATCCGAGGGCTGACTGCTACTGGACTCCACGTCGGAGATGCTTTCATCCTCCATCGAGGGCACCCCCGAGATGTCTTGAGAATCACTCTGGGACGACATTCTAACTCTAGCTCGAGGGTTCGGGGGAACTAAGGTTTTCTAGAGAATTCTATCTCCTAACCTAAGGGCACAAGGCACAGCTAAACTAGAAGGAGAAAGGCAGGGGGAACTGACCTTGAGAACAGAGGATTCAACCGAGGGCAAGTTTCTCTCTCTAGAAAATTTTTGCCAGAGCTTCGCTACACTGAGTTCGCACAGCGGGGAATGGCTCTGGCCTTGGGGTATTTATAGGCGCTGGAATCCGGGCTTGGGCCTGGATTCCGGGCCTCCGGTTGGACCGCCATCATTACACACCGCGTCTTCGCCCAACCAGTGATGCCGCCCACGGACAGCCAACCATCACGCGCCACGTGTACCCCCCCAACGGCTATATCCTGACGGTACGTATTCCAATGGCTATATTTCCAACGGCTATATTCTGGGAGCCCCGGGACCTTTTTTACTTCACTCCACTTCACCAAGGAGAGCCTCCGGGTACACTTACCCAGAGACGCCCCCGGTTTGTGCCCTACACAGTACATAGCAGACGCCCTCGGGATCACTCCTTTAGAAGCCCAAGGCTTCACATCAGGCCATCCCTCGAGGATTCCCCCTCAGCACTGTAAGGGCCGGTTAGCCCCCGGGGAGTATACCTCGTTGACGGATAGTCTACAGCACACAGGTAATGGGAGCCCTCGGGTATCTTCATCACCAACTAATCAACAAACAGTGGACCCCCCGGTAACAACTCCACTGCTACCCACATTCATTACGCCCTCGATCCCCAGATTAAGGGGCTCCCCTTCGGTACCCCAGGACATCAATAGCAAGCCTTCGGCTAACCAACACAGGAGCCCTCAGAACAAGGAGAGCCTTCGGCATTACCGTTATTCTCCATTTTTGACCAAGGTTTCACATTTTCGATTCATCGTTGGGGGAATTCGGTGCACTCTTTTTCCCTCATTAGGATTTTTCCCCCAGGGTTTTTCCTAATGAGGTTTTTAACGAGGCATCCCCCCAAAATGAAACGAAAAGTGTCAGCCTTCGGCCCACAACAGCAACACAACTACTCTACTCCTTTTCACCACTTTACAAGTGCCTCAAGGAGTGGGGGACTGGAGGACTGGAGGACCCCCTCGGGAAAATCATTAAATTACAAAATTGGTGAAAAATTCCAACAAAACGGCAAAGCAAGCCCTCAAGTCCCGACATGTGGGTAACTGAGGGACTGCCCTCGGCAGGGACACGCAAACAACAAACTCCTCACCAAACTACAACGGAGCAACATCAAATGGCAGACACAGTTTACTCCTTTTCCCTCAAGTACCTTTCGGCAAAAGGAGTGAGGGACTCCTGATGGAGTATATGGCCCGGGAACCCCCGGCCCACAGACTCCTACTAACTCCAGTAAAGGCCCAACAGGCCCAGAAGGCCCAACAGACCCAAATCACAGCGCCCAGAGTACCAAGCAGCCCGCAAAACGCGCCACGGGTGCCTTCGCCCCCTGGCCGAAGGCTAAAACTCTCACAGAACGGGTTTCTCGAGCAAACTAAGAAACTGAGGGGAAAAACGGCAGAAAACAGTAGCCCTCGGCACCCGGAGCCCTCGGCACTCAGGGGTCCTCGGCACTAAGAGCCCTCGGCTAGTCCTCTGCAGCCGAGGGCACTTCTCCTGACATGATATCCGCCTCTCATGCGTATAGATCACCGTACCCTATACAGACGTCCCATCCAACAGCCGCATTAAATGCGGCCACATGCGGCTGCCAACGCCAACCAGTTGAGGTGACCTCTCGGCCAATGGGCGCTTGACACGTGTCCCTGTCCGGCATTTATTGGTACTATAAATAGCACCCCATTTCCTCATTTGTAACCACGACATTCATACTGAATACACTCTCTCTCTTACTTACTTGTGCTCTGACTTCTCTCTAAGTTATTCTCAGCAATAACCCCTCGGATATATACCCTCCGGGTAGACTATCCATCATATATATATATAAACATTTTCTATATATATAATGGGGTTGGGTGGGGTTTGAAAGGGGGCAGCCCAACTGTAGATACACCCCTAGTCACATATATGGGCACCATTGTGTGATCTGTCTGTGACTAAAAGGAGTTAAGTCAAAATTTGATGAGACTATGATTGATAAGTTAAGAAATCTTATACTTATGGGTAGGGATGGATCCGGGCCGGTCCGGTTCCGGTTCTGGGCCGGGCCCGGACGAGTTTTTTTCCCAGGTACTTGGGCACGGAACCGGCCCGGGTTGATACCGGGTCCGGGCCTAACCGGGGCGGGCCCGGTTCAATGTTTTTTTTGGCTTTCTTGTTATCCCCCGACCCCCCCCCCCTCACCCCCACCCCCCAAATCTCCCTAAAACACCCAACCCTACCCTAGGAAAAGGAAAAAAATTGAAAAATCAAATAAAAAGCCCGGGTCCGGCCCGAACTGCCCGGGCCGGTTTAACAAAAATGGGGCTCGAGCCCGGCCCGCCTGACCCACCAAAACGGGCTAAAAGCCCGGAACCGGCCAACCGGACCCAGGTCAGTCCGGGTCCGCACAGTAGCGGGCCGGTCCGGTTCCGGGCCGGTTCAGCCCGGCCTAGTCCATCCCTACTTATGGGGATCGATGTTGCGCATGGTATTGTCTCTCAACCGCTTTGAAGTTTGAACTACGCCCATGCATATTCAACTATGTAGTTTACACAGCGCATGGGAGCAAAGCTTTAATTGTGTCAACAAACAATTATTGAGAGGATAAACGTACAAATGGACCGAATTGATATCTAAAGTAAACGTAATTGTTTCGGAATGATAGAAATTCAAAATTATGGTCAAAATGGTTTTAGTTGATAACCTTAACTTCAAGTGATTTAGTAAATTTCTGAAAGAATTAGGTAGAAATAATCGTTTTACCAAGTTCATTAGGTCTCATAAAGTCACAAGTTAAGAGCAATTTTGATCAATTGCAATGAGTAGATTAGATACATGTAGTTTTTTTCTGAGTTGGTCAGACTGATTAGAATCTTAACTTGCTACATGTGATATGTGAAATAATTGAAGAAACTACATGTTTCTTAATTAATTAATTATGTTAATTAGTTTTAAGACAAATTTCATATGGTACAACCGTACCATAGACGGAAATATTTCAATTTACTTAAGGTAGCTAGCTATTTGGTTCATTTAATTGTTATTATCCAATCACTCCACAATATTCCACATGATATGCTCATTTTATCTCCCTCGAGTTACATTTAGCATTTAAGTGATTTAACTCATCTTTCAGGTATATGAATTTTGTTGATCTTAAATGCAAGCGTGAAGAATGTATACCGGTTATTCATGTAAGAAAACTGGCATGAAGAATATCAAGTTTTAAAACTTGGCAACCAGAAGTTCAGTCACCATTCACCTCACCTAGCCCAACTAGTCTGGATTAAGCCTTTGAGCTATTTCTTGTATTCAGTTGTGTATGTAAAAGAAGAAAACTAATTCACAAACACGCACCCTTTTTTACTGAAGAATTCATTCACAATTCGGCATGTATCCCGTGATTTGGTAGGGGAGCCAAATGAAGGCAACAAGAACCCATCGTCACCCGATGGTCTTACCTTGCAGCCTCAATGTGAATGCTTGTAAGGAGAGAAGAAGAGCTTTTAGTTTGTCTTTGCTTTCAGCATCAATCAGATTACCATCACTGTCAAACTTGGGAGGGGGATTCAAAGCATTGAGGAAAAACTCAGGCTTGTTAATGAAATGAAGGTCGATGTAGATTCCTATCTGGCGGAGATGATATTGTGCTCTCCCCCCGCCAAAGCCTCCTCTGGAACCAACGATCGCAGCCGCTTTGTCTGCCCAAACGTTTGGGGGTCGAGATGCCCAATCTATTGCATTTTTCAACGGTCCTACACACAATAGTCATCATAAAAAGTTTTCTCCACAGCATATTTGTGATAGGTATTACTTTTTGAATTGAAATTGGGGCTTGAAAAACTAAAAGCATACATATATACAGGACAATAACGGGATAACCTTCCTATGCCTCATTCATGTCCCATTTTAAACCGGTACCGGATAAAAGGATCAACATCGGAACAGTTCTGAGATATTTTGGAATACGATAACGGGATCGAGATTTTGTGCACCCCTAATTATAGTAATATATATTCCGTATTAATAATTTCTATAACTATTATACTAAAATAGTAAATATTACTCCCTCCGTTCCCAAAAATACTTCCCACTTTCCTTTTTGGGTTGTTCCCAAAAATACTTCTCACTTTCCCATTTTGGACAATTTGTGTGGCTCACATTCATTTTACCTTTTTCTTACACAACCACAACCATACATTTCCACTTTCTTAATAAGCCTGCCAAGTCAAACCGGGAAGAATTTTTAGGAACGGAGGGAGTACTCCGTAATATAATTCCGAGTAGTTTAGTTACCGGTGGCAGTTGTGTAGTAGTAAAATTATTACTCCGTAAATTAAATTAAATATTAATTTAATGTAGTAAAATGAGCTCATTTCTTAAAATTTAAACTACTTTCATGTCCTTCCCCTGCCGAGCTTACAATTCCGAGTAGTTCAGTTACCAGTGACGGAGTAGTTGTACTCTGGGGAGGCAAAAATGATGCTGTCAGCTTGAAAAATCTTCTGGCGAAACTCCTCCACGACCGGAGGGTAGGTTCCGTCGACCTCGAGATCGGTGTTTAGAAACGGCAACGCCGATATATCCACGAGCTCTATTTCCATCCCTTTGATACATTCCTTGCTCATCTCCATTGCTACAACAAGTTCACTACTAGATCAGCATCCAAATCTCATAATCAAATCGCAATTGCAATAACCTGTTCCAAATTGTGCTAATAAACCAAATGCTCGAGCTACCAGCTACAGATTGATCTGGAACGAGTGAGAGAGAAACTGCGAAAGGAAAGATACAAGGGGGCATAGAAGAAGATGAAGTACCTGCGCGGAGGAGACCGCGGTTGTGTGAACCTTTCCGCAGAGAGCCACAGATGCCCGCCACTCTGACGACTGGATGAGTAGCCACAGCCACAGCTTCCATTGAAAAAATGAGGAATACGGCTTGATTGAATGATAGAAAGGAAAAATGGTAAAGGAAGCAAGATTGCTATAAGGAGCTTTTGATGAATAGCTTTTTTTTATCATTCAGGTGCGGGTGTAAGCTCCCCAAATACTCTGGACACTTAAATCTACATCTAATCACATATCTGAATTCAGCAGAGCCCTCCCACTATGTGGATCGTGAAGGCCTGAATTTTAGGACGAATCCAGAAGAAGACCTGAATCCATCAAAGATTCTCCCACCACACAAATTCGGTAGGTCTGTATTTCCATCATCTCCCTTCTTAGCAGTTGTGCAACTCCGTGAAGGTAATCAGAATTATTGGGAGCAAGGTCTCCCTCATCTCCCATATTTATGCTTAGCGGGTTTCGAACTCGAGACCTCCACTAGGACACAGTAACCTCCCATCCAGTGAGTTTGAATGGTTGGTTGCAAGATTACTATAGGAAGCAAGATTGCCATCCGTCCCTTTTAAACGTTTCCGTCCTCTATTTTTTGATCAAAATTTCTCTTAATTTTTTACTTTACATATCTGATGACAACCATGGATCACAACCATGACCCAAGAATCATTTTAAGAAAAACTCATCAACGAGATCAATCCATTAATCAAGATTAATAATTAATAATAGCCGATGGGCCTAACTAGAATCCTAACCCGTGAAAGGAATCCACAACCAGGTTAGGCTAGACAGTAGACCTCGAGCTTGAGCGAAGTTGTAGTGAGGTCGGACTTATCATAGGGCTTACATGGCAGGCTATCATTTGAGCATAGCTATCTGGCAGCGACAAGAAATAACAGAAGAAACGTGGATCTAGAGGAATAATGATTGAACAACATTCTAGATGTTACAACTCTTATTGTAATTAATTACATTAAATATATCAGTTTTCAGAATATGTAAATTTTATTTACTAAAAATAATTTGAGTTTTCACAAGGATCATTTAATTTTATCACTAGTCAAACATAGTCAATTGTAATTGAAAGAACAATTAGGGATGGAGAGAGTAACCAAATAACACTATTGATTCAAATCGGCTAGAGTTATAATTTAATATATTGTGCATGGGTTTTTCTATTGCCTCTAGACGTCAAAGGAAAACATTAAAAAAACATTTGTGTCTAGTCATGGCATAACTTGGGCTCCATTCGGCACACAATTTCAGTCTATAATCGGCTAGAATTTGTCAAGGGATAACGGTCGAAATGGACACTATGGTTGTATGAGAATCTCATATTGAACACTAAGATTTCAAATGAATCAAATTGAACACTATGGTTACTTGTGTGTCTCATATCGGACACTAAAATTTCAAATTGATCAAATTTTACGTTTTTCTGATCATTTTAAGACACCCATCAAAGATGTTCACCTTGAAAGATATAAGTATTCCTTTTTCTCTTGGTTTTATATCCCTAAAAAATAAAATTAACTTAATTTGTATATTTAGATTTAGAATATATAATTAGATGCTCCAATTAAGAAAATCTATTGTAATGTAATTGAATTCTTTAATATTTTTAAATCAATTTAACAAATCGATATTTCTTAAAGTTACATAAAAATCATATGAATGAAAAGTCCCTAAATATATTTTTAAATTGTTAAATATAAGAAGTTATTAATTAAAATCAAATTATACATTCTAAAACTTCAAATTAAATATTCCAAAATTATATAAGTAATTAAATTGGTTTACTTTCACAAAAAGGAAAGAAAATGTAAGACTAACAATTTTTATTAAAGGAAGAAGAGAATCATAAGTGAGTGTCCAAAAATTATGAATTATGAAATTTCAGTGTCCAATATGAGATACATATGTAACCAGGGGCGGATGGTAGCCTGGCCAGGGGTGGGCTTCAGCCCAGCCCAATTTTTTTTTTAATAGGATTGGTTTATTTTTTATTCTCAGCCCACCCTAAATTTAAATGTCAGCCCACCCCACAAATAATTCCCAGCCCAGCCCAGAAAAAACAGCCCACATCTTTCCCCTAAGCGTTACCCCTCCCTGCGGATTCCCAGTCGACTGTCGAAGTCGAACGAAGGCTTCAAGGGAGTAGGGACGACCGTCGACCGGACGAACTACGAAGTGAGGAACCGAGTGCCAGGTGCTGCGTTGCCGCCGTGCCGGAGACGTGAACAGCAGGCAGCAGCGACCGAGCGAGTAGCGACGCGCCGAGCCTGTCAGCCGGAGCCCGGAGTCGGCAGCCGCCTCTTCCTCTGCCCGACCGCGGACCGCATCTTCCTCTGCCCGACCAGGTAAATCCTCTGAGTCTCTGACCTCTTTGTTGTTTTCAGGGATGAAGTGTTGAATTTTTATTGTGAATCAGTGAAGTTATGAACTTCTGCTGTGAATCTGTGAACTTTGAATGAGTGAATCTGTGAATTGTGCATTTTAGGTTGAACAAAACCAGTAATTTTAGAGTGAATATGTGAATTGTGCATTTTCGAGTGAATGAGTGAATCTGTTATATATATTTTATATAAGTTTTTTAATTTATACCAATATTGAAAATGTTTTTTTAGAATGGATAATGAACATGTTGCCAAGAAGGGAAAGAAGTTGATTTCATCATTCTTTTCAAAAGTGAATCGTCAAACCGGTGAAGGAAGTTCTGAACCTATACCTACGATAGTGCAAGATCTAGTCAATGAGGTTCCTTCACATGTCCTCGTCCCTGAAATCCAATCTATCTCCAATTTTGAGTTGCCTTCATCTTTTTCCATTGAGAGGTATCCGGGAAAAAGAAAACAAATTCATGAATACCATGTTAATGTGCGAGATGAAGTTAGACGTGCATATCTAAATGTTGGGCCTTATCAACCGAGAATGGAAGCTTATCCAGTGAAAAAGTTTGGAGCTCAAAACCGAAGTTTTCAGAAACACTGGTTTGACAAGTTTAATTGGTTAGAGTATTCACCTGTGACTGATAAAGCTTACTGTTTTTTCTGCTTCCTTTTCTTGAGTGACCTTCATATGCATACTACTTCTGCATTAGTTAACGAAGGATTTCAAATTTGGAAGAGGGTAAATCAAGGAAGTCAATGTGCATATCTTCAACACATTGGTATTTCAGAAAAATCACTTCATATGATGTGTGTTCAAAGAGCTGAAAATTTGAGCCAACCATCTGACCATATTAAGAATGTTTTTCATGCCCAATCGCAACAAGAAAAGGAGAAAAATCGTTTGCGATTGAGAACTTCTATTATAACTGTTCGATGGTTGGCACTTCAAGGTTGTGCATTTAGAGGTCATGATGAATCTGTAACATCATCAAATCGGGGAAATTTTATTGAACTAGTGAAAGCTTTTGCGACTATGAATACCAAAGTTCATGAAGTTGTACTTGAGAATGCTCCTAAAAATGCTCAGTACATTGCTCCCGACATTCAAAAAGAGATCTTGAATATAATGGCAAATAGAGTTCGTCAAATGGTTCATGAAGAAATTGCAAATAGTTGTTTCTGCATTCTTGTTGATGAAGCACAAGATATATCTAAACAGGAGCAGATGGCGATTATTATACGGTTTGTGAACAGCAGGGGAATTCTTACAGAGCGGTTCTTTGCCATCAGAAGTGTTAGTGACACTGTAGCAAGTACCTTGAAAGGTAAAATATGTGATGTGCTTGGTAATCATGATCTCCAACTTTCAAAAATGAGAGGCCAAGGTTATGATGGTGGGAGTAATATGCGAGGTTCATTTAATGGCCTTCAGGCATCATTTCGTAGAGATTTTCCTTATGCATATTACATTCATTGTTTTGCACATCGCTTACAACTTGCGTTGGTTTCTGCGGCTAAGGATGTTAGCTTAATTTGGGAATTCTTCTCTCATTTGGATAATATTGTTAATATTATCACTTCTTCACCAAAGCGGGTATCGGAGTTGCACGTGTCTCAAAGAAGTGAAATTGAGAAGTTATTAGCAACCGGGGAACGCGAGTTGGGACGTGGTGCAAATCAAGTTGGTAATTTGCAACGATCCGGATCTACTCGTTGGGGTTCTCACTATAGCTCCGTGAAGAGTTTGATAAACATGTATGCCGCAACTTGCAAAGTGTTTGAACATTTGGTTGAGAACTCTCCAAATGGAAGATCTAAAGCTGAAGTTCTTGGGACCTATAGAAAAATGGCAAGCTTTGAATTTGTGTTTGTCTTACACTTGATGCATAAACTTCTGAGAATAACTGATGCTCTTTGCCAGGTTCTTCAAAAAAAAACTCTTGATATTTTGAGTGCTATTACATTCGTTGGTACTACTAAAACTATCCTTGCAGAGTTAAGAGCATCTGGTTGGGAGGAATTTCTTCAAGAAGTGAAGAGTTTTTGCTGTTCAAATGATATTGATGTTCCAAATTTGGGTGATCCATATAAGATTGGTCGTTCTCGTTTCCAACCAACAATAGAACATCATTATCATTTTGATGTCTTCAATGAAGCGATTGATTTTACCTTGACTGAGTTAGGCACGCGCTTTAATGATACATCCATGGAACTTCTTCAACTTAGTCTTGTTTTGGATCCCAAGAACTCCTTGAGCTCATTTAACAGTGAGGATATCTGTAAACTTGCAAAAAAGTTTTATCCTGCAGATTTCACTGATCAAGACATTGTCTCACTTGAGTATGAGTTGATTCACTACAAGCATGATATTGTTTCAACATCTGAAGCGTCCACACTTGTTGAGTTATGTCAACATTTGACGGAGAGTGGGAAATCAGAAATCTATGTTATGTTGACGAGACTAATTCGTCTAGTTTTGACCTTACCTGTTTCTACTGCTACTACGGAAAGAGCATTTTCAGCAATGAAGCATGTGAAGACGGCACTTCGTAACAAAATGGGAGACGATTTTCTTGAAGATTCATTGATGATCTACATTGAACGAGACTTTGTCAATAATATAGATATAGATTCTATTATTGATGAATTTTATATTTTGAAGTCGCGAGGGCACAACTTAAATGATGTTTTAATGAATTTGTAAGTGTTGACGACTTGACTTATTATTATATATGTGTATTTCAAATTTTTTCCCAGTCCACCCCATTGTGACTTTCTGGATCCGCCCCTGTATGTAACCATAGTGTCCAATTTGATCTATTTAAAACCTTAGTGTCCAATATGAGATTCTCATGAAACCATAGTGTTCAATTTGAGCCTTTTCCCATTTGCCAATATCAGCTGATTGTTATGTTATGTTATATTATATTGTACTCCGTACTATACATATACATGTTAAGTTATATTATATTGTACTCCGTACTATACTATATACATGTATAAATTCACAAATATTATATATACACACGCATACATATATTAAATAGCTGAACATATAAAAATCATTATAATAAATATTTTCTCTCAATAAAAATTATAATAAATATTTTATTCTATTACTAAATCTTATACCCTTTAATGTAATTTCATATTATCTCAGCACTTTTTAGCTCTTTTTGCCAAACGGTTCTACTCGATTCAGCTAACGATTCAGATTCAACACTTCGATGTTCAACTCCAGACAATAGTCTCTGATTCAGACAATAGTCCCTAATTCAGACTTTAGCCTCATGTTCAAGCTCGCTGTGTCAAACATAGCTTGATAGGCATTACTTGAATACTTGATTAGGACTAACCGACTAAGCATTTAGCTGATAGGCATTACAATTTGACTTGATAGCTTGATAGTTTCTCTTTTGAATTTTGATGCTTAGTTTTTGTTTCTATTGAATTTAATATTTAATATTAATGTTAATTTTCTGGCTATTAATATTATATGATTTTCCTTCAGTTAAGTTTTCAACTTTCAATAGACCAGTAATGTTATTTTTATGACTATTAATATTTTATTATTATCCTTCGATTAAGTTTTAACTTATCAATATTTTTTCAGTATTATATCTAATGAAAACTTCAACTTTTATTTAATATTGATATTAAATTTTATGTTTAATTTAATGTTAAACACTAATGCTAATTTAGCAGCGGTTAAGTTTCTGCATATTAGTATGTTTTTTTTTGTTTTCATATTTGATGTTAACTTCACCTTTAAGTCGTTAATATTAATATTTAGTGTTCTACAGTTCTACTTGATGTAAAAGTACACAATAAAGTTAATTTTCTACTCCCTCCGGTCCTTATTAAACTTTACAGTTTGACTTCACACATGTTAAGGAAATAAATTTGACTTTACTGTAGAATACAATGTTTGGCACTATTTGACACTGTTTGGTGTAGATTTTTTTGACAAATAAGGCAAATAAGGAAGTGTAAAGTTTAATATGGGACGACCCAAAAAGGAAAGTGTAAAATTAATTAAAGATCGGAGGGAGTATTAAATTAGTTTTATGCTAATATTCAACTATTGAAGTTAACATCATTTAATATTATGCTAATATATCATTCTTGTTATTTTTTTCACCAAAGATAGCTTTTCTGGTGCAGTACAACATTATGATTTATTTTAATATTGCATTTGATGGTTTCTCTTGAATAATGCTTATGCTTTATTTTTTATTTTTTAAAAAAGAATAATGCTATATATATATATATATATATATATATAGCATTATTCTTTTTTAAAAAATAAAAAATAAAGCATAAGCATTATTTTAAGATCTGTGCATCAGATTAGCAAAAAAGTGCACGAGAAAGTGCAAAACATACTAAAAAGTGATGCTAGACGCGGTGGCATATCCGTAATTAATCGGAACTTTTCTGCCATCGCAAAAAGTGCATCAGATTAGCGAAAAAGTGCATCAGAAAGGTGCAAATGTGAAGCTTCTCACTTCTCACGTTAAGATGTCTTTTTATTAGAACCCAACCCTATATATATATATATATATATATGCAATTCTAAAAATCCGTCATGATTACGCAATACGGCAATACGCAATTACGAACATTGATCGAAAGCTTTTACATCAAGGGCATAAAACAGTATCACTATTAGTTACATAACCAAGCCCAACAAGGTGGAGGTAAATGAGGTGTTGGCATTTTTAGTATTCCATACAAACTAGCAATTCTTCAAATCTCTATGGTATTGAACACATGACTGGCATTATTTTCACTCTCCACAAATACATGAAAGTAATGAAACCAGCTTGTGTCCAGAAGATCACTTGCTGGTCTTACCTTGCAGCCTCAGTGTGAATGCTTGCAAAGACAGAAGAACAACTTTCAATTTCTCCCTGGTTTTAGCATCTAACAGATTCCCATCACTGTCAAACTTGTAAGGGGGCTGAAAAGCAGCAACATAAAATTCAGGCTTGTTAATGAAATGAAGGTCAAGGTAGACTCCAATCTGCCGGAGATGGTACTGTCCCCGTCCACCGCCCATGTCTCCTCCGGCACTAATGATCGCAGCTGCTTTGTCTCCCCAAACGTTTGGGGGTCGAGATGCCCAATCAATAGCATTTTTTAATGGTCCTACACACATCAATGATCCAGAGATCAAAGTTAATTAAGTGACTGTTTTTTGGAAGAAGTTAAATAAGTGACTGTTAAAACTTGAGAATTCATCCTAAAAACTAACTGATAAAGAAATAGTTCAATGTCTTACACTCAAGTCTGTACTTAAGCATTCGAAAATTGAAAGAGATAAACAGTCTAAGGGAGTGTTTGCGATTGCTTGTGCTTTTTAAAATTGATTTTTGAAGAGATTATTGGAAAAATGATTTATAGTAAAAGTATGTAGTGTTTGAGAATAGAAGTGATTTTAGTTAAAATGTAAAAGTTGAAGTGTCTAATAAAAAAGTGATTGTGATGTAATATTTTTTTGAAATGTACAAAAATATCCCTTCCTAGCATCTCCCACATAATCTTCGTCTTCTTCCTCAGTACATCCGGAGGAATTGAGGAGCTCAAGAGCTCTCTGGCACTGTTGGAGCACCGTCTCCAGGGTCTTTCTCTTCACGCGAAGAGGATCTCACTCCAAATTGGCTCTCAATAACAGGATCTCCTTCTCATCCCCGCCTGCCGCTGGCAACCGCTAAATCCATGTCACCCTAAAAATTCACAGCCACCAAGGGATGAGATGATAATTGATGATGAATCCGAATTCGCAATGGCAAAGGTTTGGAGATGGAGATGAGAGTCCAGCATGAGAGTCATCTTCATGCCGTAGCTCCCAGGTCAGCATCTCTGCTGTGTCTAAATCAGACTCCACCACTGCGAGTCATCTTCATGCCGTAGCTCCCAGGTCAGCATCTCTGCTGTGTCTAAATCAGACTCCACCACTGCGTCAAATCCCCTGAGCCATGTGTCTCCCTGTTGTCACCCCAGCCGGCAGTCAACATAGTTGACCAACCCCAGCTACAGGCCAGCCGGCTAGCCTCCATCACTTGATGGCAAAGCAAGCTCCAGGCTGGTTACCTGCGCGAGGGCAATGGAGCAGATGGGTCGAGGGTATTTTGGGGGGTTTAGAGATTTTGTTGCCATTATTATTATCCATAAAGTTTGAGTTAATTACAAGTATACCTAGAAGCATTTAGAAGTTGGTATATTTCGGCTATGTTGGGCAAGCATAAGTCTCCGCATTCTAGCGTTTGTAATGTTCAAAAAGTTTATAAAAGCTTCTACTTATATGTTTGCCATGACAATTTTTAAGAGCTTTTCAAAAATAAAAAGATTTTTTTTAGATACTACACGGAGTAGCATCTGAAAAAAGCTCGTGACTTTTAGTATTAATTAAGGTATATTTGGCACGACTAGCTGAAAAGATACTTTTGTGAGCTTTTAAATAACTGTTAGCTTTTAGTGACCGAAAAGATTTTAAAAAGAAAATGTGGTAGCTGTTTGGTAAAAAGCCAACTGTTTGATATAGTTCTGTTTGATATACAAGCTGTTAGGACAAACTAATACTAAAAGTCACAGTCTTTTCTCTTAAAAAGATCTTTTATTTTTTGAAAACCTCTTAAAAAATTTCATGCCAAACATACAACTAAAAGTTTTTAGAGACTTTTTAAATAGTACGAAAGCTAGAAGGCAGAGACTTATGTCTGCCAAACATGCACTAATCAGAGACTTAGTTCTAACAGCTTGTATACCAAACCGAACTAAATCAAGCAGTCAGCTTTTTACCAAACAACTACCACATTTTCTTTTTAAGATATCTTCCGTCACTAAAAGATAACAATTATTAAAAATCTCACAAAAGTATCTTTTCGGCTAGTTGTGCAAAACATACCCTTCAGCTTCTAGCTTTTAACTTGCACCTTTTTAATTAGAAGCTGGGATTTGCAAACACATTTTTTTAGCTTTTTTAGGGTATGTTTGGCACAACTAGCTGAAAAAGATACTTTTATGAGTTTTTTAGTAACTGTTAGCTTTTAGTGACTCAAAAGATCTTAAAAAGAAAAGGCAGTACATGTTTGGTAAAAAGCTGACTGTTTGATTTAGCTCTGTTTGGTATACAAACTGTTAAGACTAATTTATACTAGAAGCTACTGACTTATCTGAGATGCTACTCACGGTAGCATCTCAAAAAAGATCTTTTATTTTTATAAAAGCTCTTAAAAATTGGCATGCCAAACATACAACTAGAAGCTTTTAAAGACTTTTTGAATAGTACAAAAGCTAGAAGACATAGACTTATGCCTGCCAAACATATCCTTAATCTAAAAGCTTAGAAGCACTTATTTAAAGCAATAACAAACACCGCTCAAAACTCCAAAATGTGAATATTATGGAATATGTTTTATTTTCCAAAATAAGTGTAATTGTTGTGGACATACTATCCATTATGACTTTAATTCAGTCAAATTAATGTTTGATAACCCCAAAACGTGATACTCCGTCCTGTTATTTTAGGTTGCACTCTTTCTTACATTTAGCCGATTTCATCGACTCTGGTACAATATTAAAATTTGATATGCCAATTTAAAATGTCATAATAATAGTCAAATACATTATACTATTATATGACTATATAAGTATATAGTCATATACACTTGAGGTGACTCGATAACTGTGACTAACCGCAGTTAATTGAGGTGGGTTGCAAGCAATATGCAACATCGACTAATTATATACGATAGTATAAGATTGATTAGTACTGAATTGTTTTTTATACCCTCACGACTCTCGAGAATTGTTTTCCGTCTTAGATTAGGACAGATTAAATCAAACTTAAACAAACAAGATCATATTATGCCAAAGATTAGACTACTATAGTTGTGAAATACACATATGAGACTGACCAGAGATGTTCAAACCAGATCAACCAGACGCATCTTAAACTGATCAGATTAAATAAAAAAAAATAATCCAATTAAAAAAGATGATCAGCATCTAAACTCACCAGCTGCTGAATTATTAATGTGGAGAACAGGTCTGGTTACAAAAATCGTATAAAAATGGAGAACAGGTGCATTATTGATCCGTGGCCATGGCATTGTTTGTAATTGCACAATGCAATTGCGCCTCATGGCACGCCTCAAGTCATTCCTAGACTATGGCGTAAAAGGCATTGCATATGGCGCTGGGAGTGTGGCGTACACAATATTGCACTGAGGCGTACGCAATAAGGCGCTCTGAGGCGTACGCAATAGGAGGTCAGGCAGGTCAGGGTGTAATGGTATTAGTTGGGCCCACTCGGCCCACTTTTTAATTATTATAATTGATGTTATGATCCCTATTTCAAACCACTAGTTATTGATTGGATTTTTGAGTCAATCAATCTTTTAAATTTAAATTTTCATATCTTAATTTTTTTAAAAAAGGATTCAGAAAGTTTTGATATTCTATGGTACTTTGAAGTTTGAGCATATTACTTTGCTAGGATTATGGCCTCTTATGGGTTGTTTTAATATAATATTTGACGACTATTGATGAATATGTTTATTTTTTATTATGTTTTTATATATGTGTGTATATATATAAATATATAAATTACGCCTCAGCCCTCAGGCATATGCCTCATTGCGCAATGAGGCTTACGCAATATGCAATATTAAAAAAACGCCACGACTACGCAATACGCAATTTCAAACCTTGGGCCATGGATACGATTTTTTTTTAGTTTTCACTTTATGTTTTCGGTAATACAATCAGATAAAAGGATCACTCAAATCTAATACTCCATTTTTTGAAAAAGAAATGAATATTTTAGGAAGTTGGACGTTACTGCCAAGAAATGATGCTCCTCACCAAATGCTCCACTTACTTTATTATCCTCTTGACTTTTGTTTTTCTGTTATTCTTATTCGCTCCACACCACCTATATTTCAAAACTTATAGTTTACTAACAAAGAAATGAATATCTTTGTTTACTAACAAAGATATTTTATAGTTTTCTATTTCTGTTTTTTGTTCTTCAATTTTCTATTTTCATTTTTCAGTTTCTCTCCAACTTTTTGTTTTAATTTTTTAGTTTTCCATTTTCAAATCTGAAAACTCGTGCATAATAGAATTATAAATAGGGATGTTTTGTACTTTACATATAACTCTATCGGTATAAATATATCTGTCAGGGCTCCTCAGGTAACAACCTTTTCCATTATTCTCACATGGTATCAAGAGCACATTAAAAAAAATCCGATCCGCTATCTATATTTCACAGCGCCGCGTGCTAAACCCTAGAGCCGTTGCCACCTTCTTTCCGACGTCGGTCACCTAACGCCGCCACTGCAGCATGACAACTCCGCCGTCAACGTTTCCGCACCACTCAAGCCTCGTCTGCCGCGGCCAGCACCACCGCAACAACCGGCGCTCCAGTCTCCTTTGGATCGTTGCCGTCAATCAGTTCCATCTCGTCCGATGTGACGTTCTTCTCCCATTTTGCATCTCCAAGCCGGGCCTCCATGCCATATTCTCTATTTCAGAATTTACCACCGGTGTTTTCTTGGTCGGCTCCAACTCCTATGCAGGTTGTCTCTCTCGAGCCACCCTTCTTCTCGGCCATAGCTTTTGTCGGCAACACGTTTGTTGGCTCACCAGGCGTTTCCTCCACCTTGCCTACTCTTCGCACCCCGGCAGGTTCCCTCTTGACCTAACTTGCTCACATCATCTCTCATGTGGCGACCAACATCACAAATATCGTGAATACCAAACTTCTAGCGGTGGAAGATTACACTACTTGGAGGACCCAATTTGAATCGTTTCTGGTTTCACAAGGTCTACTTGGCATGCTTGATGGCTCCATTCAGGTACCACCTGCGTATTCCATAGATGCTCTTAACCATCAAACTCTCAATCCTGAATTTTCCACTTGGTTGAGAATTTATCAAACAATCCGTTCATGGTTATTTGCAACCCTGTCTCGGGATGTACTTATCGATGTACGTGATTTAAAACATTCATTTGAAATTTGGGAGCAGTTGGAGTCTTGGTTTATGTCTGCCAGTTTAGCCCAATCTATGGAATTAAAGCGTTTATTAAATCACATCAAAAAGAAACCTGATCAGTCCATGGATAATTATTTGAGAGAA